AAGTTTCGGCCCTCTCCGAGGCCCTCCTTCCCTAGGTCCAGCTCCCCAGCCTCTGCCTTCACAAGTAAATCCTAGAGGTTGAGCCAATGTGCCTGTCACTGGTACTAACGGAAACCATTGAGGCAGTGGGGCTTGGGACTGGACTGACTTCGAGGCTCCAAAGGTGTGCCCGGCCAGGTGTCCAGTTGCGCAGGGCTGGGAGGAGACGTGGTCGGGGCCACACTGCAGGCCCCAGGTTGAAGTGGGGTTATCTGTGTCCAGATAACATAGCCCTCGAGCCACCAACAGGAGACTCTGGCCTTAGGGAGGTGGAGCTTGCCAGAATCCTCGGCGCAGAGATGGTGGGGGATGAGTGTTGCTGTCTGTTCCCCATGCCCTGGGCTCCCACAGGAAAGCACAACCAGCCCCTCAAAGGGAAAAGGAGGGGCAACACATTTCCCATTCTCAAACCACGAACCACCGTATCAGCAGCTGCTCCTGAGATCCCAGACTACCCCAGACCCTTGGCAGGCCAGTCTACGACCCTTGTTGCCCCTGAATTCCTCAGAGCAGGGCAACCCCCAACCTTGTCTTACCCATAAGGATCGGACAGCCCAAAGCTGCTCCCCACCTCTAAAAACAGGCATCATAACAGTCCCCACCTCCCCAAAGGTTGTTGTGAGGTCTCAATGGGACGGGGCAGGTCCAGTGTTTACCAGATGCCGGCCACTGGCAAGTAGTGGCCACATTGGCGCTGCACTGGTGACTGGGGTGCCAAATGCCAGCAGCTTCCCAGCGAAAAATAATAACAAGAGCAAGCGCTTATATAACACCTCTTGCATGCCAGGCACTGTGGGACGCTGTGCATGCATCCACTCACATCCATCTACATCCTCAACTCTCAGGAATGCCATCCGGGGCTGGATGGGGGTGGGGGTGCAGGGAGAAGCTGGAAGGGGCAGAGGGATCAGGGGTCAGGGAAGAGGAACCTGTCCCAGGGAATCAGGGCTAGCAGCCCCAGGTTAGTGCCTGGCTCAGCCACCTTGAGCAAGCAGGTAAGGTGGGCTCAGTGTCCCCATTTGTGCAAAAAGGGCAAGTGATGAGCCTCCCATCCCAAGGAAAGGAATCAAAGTGTGAGAACCGACCCCCCACCTCCCTCCACCTGGTCTGGCTTCTCCCCTCCTGCTGGCCAGGGACACACAAACACAGACTCATCCACACACCCAGGTTCCCCTCTTTAAAATCCACACTTATACACAAACTGTGTTTTAAACAACCCAGCCTACTACACTTACCAAAAGCATCTGCCCTGACTCAGACCAAGACCTGAACCCTCTCCTCCTACAGTCGCAGGCGTGCCTATCCGTCCCCAAACACAGGACAGGGGTCACAGACTTCCCAGCCCTTCCAAACCCAAGCCTGACACTCCGGACCAGCCAGAGGCTCTGGACTCCCTTCTCAAGCAGGGTTCCCAGCCACCCGTCCCAGCGCCCAGGGGCTCTGAGTCAGCCTGAAAGCCTGACCCATCACTGTTCTCCCCTTTCCCCCAGGGCTGGAACTCCATCTCCAAGCAGACCCCGTGGGTGGGGGGGAGGAGTAGCAGAGGCAGAAAAACCAGCTGCAACACCCCCACCCAACCACCAAAACCTCCAAAAATAACAGCAGCTCCCCCACACACAACCCCCTACACACCAGAAACGCAAAAACAAAATCCTACAAATCCAAAATAAAGGAAAAAAAAAACAAAAGCCAATTACTGCCCCCAAAAGGCTTTGTAACCATTCTCAAAAAAAAGTTTATTAAAAGTGTTCTTACTTAATGCTTGAAACGGAAAAGATTCCCAAAATATACAGACGCCTCTTTTCTCGTAGAAATAGATTATTTTTATAATACAAAAAAAAAGACCAAAAAACAAAACAAAACAAAACAAAACAGCAACAGCAACAAGCCCGTAGGAACATCTTTAAGCGATTACTCAGGGCCCGGCTGACAGTTACACGTGGGTTGCGTCAGTCCCGTGTACACACGCGTTCAGCCATGTTTAAACCGATTGCATCAACTTCGAAACCGGCCCGCCCGCCGGCTCCTGGAGAGGGGCAGAGGGAGAAGCAGAGAGTCTATCATTCATCTGTACACATAGACGTTTCTTCTTTAAATAACACCACGGGCGGGCGCCCCATCTGCATGTGCGGTTGATTTGGACAAAAATATAGATATATATATATATATATAATAAAATATTAAAATTACCGACGGGCTCCCCGCGCTGCCAAGTGCCCCAGTGCCAAAGTTTTGCCCGCGCCGCCAGGGGCGGGGGCGGGGGCGCGGGTGCGGGCGCTCCCCGGAGTCTCGGCCCCGGCCGGCAGGGGGACGCGCGCGGGGGCCGCGCTAGCAGTGGCCGGAGGAGGCGAGCAAGGGCTCGGGCAGCTGCTTGAACAAGTTCCGCAGGGTGCTGAGCTCGCGCGACAGCTGCTCCACCTTCTTCTGCAGCCGCTCGTTCTCGGCCGTGAGCTCCAGGACCTTGTGCTGCGTCTCCAGGTTGCGCATCTTGGCCTTGTCGCGGCTCTTGCGCACCGCGATGTTGTTGCGCTCGCGCCGGATCTTGTACTCGTCGCTGTGCTTGTCCACGGTCTTCTTGGCCTTGCTCTTGACCTGCGAGGGCGCCGGCGCGGCCCCCGCGTAGCAGGCGGCCGGGGGCGCCTTGGCGTCGGCGGGGCTCGGCGTGCCGGGCGGGCTGGACGACGAGGACGTGGAGAGGCTCCCGCTGCTGCCGCTCGGCACCGCCTGGTAGCCGAGGTAAGCGCGCAGCGCGTACGGGAAGCCTGCCGCCATGCCTGCGCCGCCGCCCGGCGCCCCGGCCTCCTCCTTCCGCTTGCAGTCCGCGGGCTCGAAGCCCGGCTCCGCCTTGAGCTCGGCGGGCGGCGGCGGCGGCGGGGGCGGCGGGTGCAGGGGCGCGAAGCAGCCGGGGTGCAGCGCGCCCTTGGCGGCCCCCAGGCGCCCCAGGCTCACGTAGCCGTACTCGGCCGGCTTCTTGCAGTTCTTGCCCCCGTAGTCGTCGGAGAAGAGGTCGGAGAGGAAGTCGTGGTGCTGCCCGGAGGAGGCGGGCGCGGGGGCGGGCGCGGGCGGAGCCGCCTCGAAGGTGTCCGTGGCCGTGGCGGGCGCCGGGGCCTGCGGCGCGCCCAGCGGCTCCAGGTACGGGCTGAAGTCGATGGCGCGCTCGTGGTCGCCGATGCTGCCCAGCTCGCCGGCGGGGGGGCGCGGCCCGGGTCTGGCCGCGGGGGGCGCCGCGGGGGCCGCCTTGCCGCCGTACGCAGCAGCCAAGCAGTCCGCCTCGTAGTAGAAGTTGGCCACTTCCATGGATTTAAAGGCAGGCGGCGGCGGCGGCAGGGGGAGACATGCTGGGTCCCAGGCCACCAGGCGTTGCATGAACGCGGGTGCCCGGGGAGGGGGCCTGGGGCTGCCCGCTCCGGCCGGCCCGCAGGTGGCGCGGCCTCCCTGCTGTGAGCTGTCGCCGCTGCGTCGCTGCTGCTGCCGCCGCTGCCGGGGTGGCCGCTATTAGTGCGGGGGCTGGTGGCTGGACCCTCGGGTGGGTCCCCTTCCCAGTCCCGTGCGCGGCTCTGACTCGCTAAAGTTTCTCCTGAGCCCGGTTATTTATAAGGGCGGCCCGTAGCAACCGTGCGTCACGCCGGCCCCTCCCGCCGCCGCCACCGGGACGCGGAGGACACGGCCGCGGCCGCCCGAGACCCCCGGGAGGCCGGTGGCGGGGCGCAGCGGAGGAACCGGGAACCCAGAGCGCGTTTTCCGGGGGTCCCCGGGCCGCGGGGGGGCGGCCTCATGCCCCCTGCCCACCCGCGCTCGGCCGCCCCGGGATTGGGAGCGAGAGGGGGCGGTGCGACCCCGCCCCCGAACCGCCCCTCTGGGCTGGAGGCTGCCCTGGAAGGCGGGGGAATCCGAGGAGGGGGCGACCTGAGCGCCTTCCCCCCCCGAGACGCGGCCGCAGCCCGCCCCCTGCTGGAGGAGGCGGAGTTTTCAGGAGGGCCGAGCCGAGCCCCGACGGCCGACCGGTGGCCGCTCCCCGGGCCGATCCCTGGAGACCCCAGGCCGCAGCTCTAGCTCCTGGAGAAGCGACCCATCCCCGTGACCCATTCCTCTCCTAAACTCTCACCCCCTCCCCAGGTCCTCGGCTCTAGAAAGGAGACTCGAGGCCTGTGACGACTCCCGTCTTAAGCCACTACCAATTGAGGACCCCGGGGGTCGGGGTAGGGGGGACAGGGCAGGAGCGCGCTCCGCTGGGGGCTGGACCCTGATCGACGGCGCCCCGCCCCTAGCCCCGCCCACCGCACCTGCTGCCTCCTCTCGGCTTGGACACCCGGGTCTTCTCCCACCCTGCGCCGCGCCACCCCTCCTGGGCCCTAAGATGGGGGTGCAGATGGGGGGCGCTCGGCCATGCCACACTGTGTGACCTTGGGTGAGTCCCTTCACTTCTCCCAGCTGCAGTCCATGAAGGGTGTCCCTACTGTCAGCGGTGGTGGCGTTGTTCCCAGACTCCCAGACCTAACTGAGGCTTACCTTAGAGGCTGCACATCGGAGAGAAAGGGACCCCCACGGATTGTGCCATTGGAGGCCCAGAGTGGGCATAGCATGGCATACCAAGGTCACATAGCCTCGTGTCCCCCATTCACCCCACACGAGATGCCTGCCCTCTCTGGGCCCTAAGACCTACTGCCAGCCCCAGAGACCAAAAAAGCTTCTGTTTCTGAGGCTGCTGTGAGGGGCTTAAGCCAGGCCTCACGGGAGGGGGGTGGCATGCAGGAAAGAGAAGAGATGCCCCTGTTTTTACCAAGTCCCTGCCCTGTGCTCAGGGTGGGCCTGGACCCCAAGTTTCAACTTTTTTCACCCCACCAGGAAGATGCTTCTGCTGCTGCCGTTTCACAGACGGGAAAGTGACAAGCACCTGCCTGGACTTGAACACAGGCCAGAGGCCCTCTGACCACTGCCAGCCTCTGCTGGGTAGGCTCAGCTCAGAGGGCCCTTTACCCTCCCCGACCCATTCCTAGGCCACTGGGGCAGCTCCCTGGGCCCACCTCTCTGCCAGTCCTAGCCCAGGCTGCCCAGGCAGGAGCTCCCAGCCTGCTGGGGGCTGACCCCCGGCCCACTGACCCCAGCCCTGGCCCCAGCAGGCAGGCGGGCATTGCTCAACCTTCGGTGTTATCTGCTGAGCTGGGGTGACCTCTGCCCTCAAGAGCTGGAGAAATAACATTTCTGGGCACCCTTGGTGGGTAGGAGGCAGGGAGGGAGGAGATAGAAAGCTGGCCCAGCCTGCTGGCTTTCTGGGCCTTCCCAGCAACCTCTGAGCTGGGGAGGGATCAGGCCCCAGAGGGGTGCAGCAGGTTCCCCAGGGCCACCCAGCCAGGCCTTCCTCACTGCAAAATGGGACACTCAGGGCTGAGCTAGAGGCCACAGCTTCCCAGAGGCCCTCTCTGTCCCACCTGCTGGCAAATGTCCTTCCCTGTCACCAGCCTCCGTTATCCTAGTTGTCTATCTTAGCCTCCCTACAGACTGCCACTCGGGGAGGGCTGTCCCACGAGGGACTCCTGGGGCAGCACACTCAACATGGACCCGTGAATGAATGCATTTGCTGTTCCCTGTGCACCAAGAACACTGTCACCCCCCCCCCGCCCAAGGCAACGCCTCAGGTCTCAGCCCAAAGGCTGCCTCCTCCAGGAAACAGCCCCCCTCCAATCTCCCCATGGGAAGTCCAGCCCCTCAGTCGCTCCTCACACACTCCCTGCTGTCACCATTCTTACTGTGATCAGAATTATCTCATCTGCCCATCTTGCTGTCTGTCCCCATGGCCTTCACTACTGTGTCCCCGGTGCCTAGAACAGAGCATGGTACACAGAGGGTGCTCAATGAATGAATAATGGAGGAGGCTGAGAGGAAGGAGAGGTTCCTCGTTAGCTGGCTGTGTGACCTTAGGCAAAATGGCTTCCCTCTCTGAGCCACAGCACTCGCCCACATCCTCCCTTCTGGATTCTGAAGAGACGCAATGAGATTTGGGGGACTGAAGGTAATTGGAAGATTTGCTGTGTGTCCTCAGGCCAACCTTCCACCCTCTCTGAACTACATTCCAAGCTCTTTGTAAGTATTAATTCATTTACTCTTCCTGATAATTTGAGGAGGCAGGCTTGTCTTTTTTCTTTTTCTATATTTTCGATGTTTTGTAGAGATGGGGTCTCACTATGTTGCCCAGGCTTTTCTCAAACCCCTGGCCTCAAGTGGCCCTCTTGCCTCAGCCTCCCAAAGTGCTGAAATTATGGGTGTGAGCCACTGCGCCAGGCCAGAGTCTTACCATCATCTCCACTTTACAGATGAGGACACTGAGGCCCAGAAGAACTAGCCCAGAAGAACTACGTGTGTCTGCCTCAGGTCACACGGAAAGATGAGAAGGAACAAAATCTGCCCAGCCCGACTTTCCCCCTTGGGTTTGTCATAACAGGCCTGGCAATGTGAGTCCCACCTTGTGGAGAGGAAAACTGAGGCCCAGAGAAGAGTAGCCCCGAGGGTCTCACGCTGTGGGTTAAGTGTTACTCAGACCCTGAGGGCCAGCCTCCAAAGACCAGACTCGGCCCCGCAGGGGTCCAAGCCCTATGGCCTCCAGAGTGGAGCATGCTTGCCACCCGTCCCCGCCCTCCACCCCCTGCCGGGGATGACCCATCCCTTCTCAGGGCAGGTCCCACCCCGGTGCCACCCCAGGTGTCCTGCAGCGAAGCTGCAAGCTAGGATGACGTAAGCCCTTGTTTTTACAAGGCTCTTGCTCAACAGGCCCCGCCTGCTGCTTCCCTACCCCCACCCCAGTCCTGTTCAGCCTTTCCTCAAGGAGGAGGATGGTGGGAACTTGAGGGCCACCATCCCGGAGGCCCAGAGCATGTGAGTGGCTGTGTGGGCCCAGGAAGCCAGGATCCCCCTGGTGCCACCTCTCCCAGTCGCCCTCAGAACCTAGAGCCGGAAAGGGTCTCAAACTGGCAGCCAGTAGCCCAATCAAGACCAGGGATGGGTTCGGTGTGACCCCAGAGTGTTTTGTTTGATGTGTATGTGTTTAAGTGAATTTACTGCCAACATTTAAAAATCAGGAGATTTCACATCAAAATTCAGATTTCCAGCTCCTCTTTTAAAACCTGAAGATGTGGGCTGGGCCCACGTGGCCACATGGTGGTGGGCAGAAGCCGGGCGGGGGCGGGGAAGGAACAGGCACTTTCCTACCTGGGACGCACGTCCTTCTCTGTCCCCAAACTGCTTCTCAGAATTCCTCCTCCCTGTCCCTGCAGCTTTTCCCTAGCCCATTTTCAAGAGGGGAAAAACTGAGGCAGTTCGCCAAGGGGAGACCCACAGTGGCTGCTTTGACGGAGAGTGCTTTGCTGAGGGGCTTAGAAACCAGACAGCAGCGGCCAGGCACGGTGGCTCATGCCTGTAATCCCAACACTTTGGGAGGCCCAAGGTCAGGCGTTCGAGACCAGCCTGGCCAACATGGTGAAACCCCATCTCTACTAAGAATACAAAAAATAATTAGCTGGGTGTGGTGGCAGGCACCTATAATCCCAGCTACTCAGGGGGCTGAGGCAGGAGAATCTCTTAAACCCAGGAGGTAGAGGTTGCAGTGAGCCAAGATCACGCCACGGCACTCCAGCCTGGGCAACAGAGCAAGACTCTGTCTCAGGAAAAAAAATAAAATAAAATAAAAAGAAAAGAAACCAGCCAGCAGGTCTGAAAATAAGGCCGAAAGGTGAACCGTCAGACCATGAATGGGGGTGTCTCCAGTGGGCATGGGGCAGGGGGTGGCAGGGGGTGGCCGGGGGTGGCCTTTCATTCTACCTGGGCCATCCATGCTGTGGTTCTCCAGCCATGTCTGGTGTTCCCTTGGGCCTCAGTCCCCGATTGATAAAATGGGGTGATAACATTATCTGGGGTTCTGGGCCTGCTGTTCCCCCTCACTGCTGGTGTTCCCCGACACATGGGAGTGAATCAGATGTCCCTTTCATTCCACAAAGCAGGCAGATGGGGAAACTGAGGCCCAAAGAGGGTTAGGACTTCCCACTTCCCCCTCCAATTTCCCTTTGTGCCCTTGTGAATGGGGACAAGAGCCAGACTTAGCCAGATTCCCTGAGCCCAGTGTTTGAGATTTTCCACATTATGCCTCCTCTCTGAGGCCTCAATTTCCCCATCTGCCAAATGGGGCTGGCAGAGGTAGATCCCTGAGGGCTGCCAGGCTCTGAGGTTCTGGGATCTACGGTTTTGGAGGCGGGAGGTGCCAGGCCAGGTGGTGAAGCTTGCCTGAGTATATGCTGCCACCAGGTGGCAGGCTCTGGGACTGCAGGAACAATTCACATGCTTGAAGACCCGCTGGGCACCCTTGCTCTGGGTGCGGGGAAGCCAGTGCCATGGATGTGATAGAGGCACACAGGGCATCAGCAGACCACTGAGAGGAACCAAAGCATCCAGTGAACAGAAAACAGTGCTCAATCTTCACATAGTCTTTCGTCAAATGTTCCTTGGCATATGCTGTAAATCCGGCCCTAGAGACACATTCATGGACAAGACAAGCAATTCCTGTCCTCGTGGTACTGAAATTCTCCTGGGGGGAAACAGCACTAAACAAGATCAGTGATTATAGTATAGATTGTGAGGCTGGGCTTGGTGGCTCACACCTGTAGTCCCAGCACTTTGGGAAGCCGAGGCAGGCAGATCACAAAGTCAGGAGTTCAAGACCAGCCTGGACAACATGGTAGTCTCTACTAAAAATACAAAAATTAGCTGGGCATGGTGGCAGGAACCTGTAGTCCCAGCTACTCAGGAGGCTGAGGCAGGAGAATCGCTTGAACCCAGGAGGCGGAAGTTGCAGTGAGCCAAGATCGCGCCACTGCACTCCAGCCTGGGCAACACAGTGAGACCCTGTCTCAAAAAAAAAAAACTTAAGCCCAACACTGTCACCTTAGGTTGATCGGGAAGGGAGCGCACAAGCCCGTGCACACCAGGAGGCTGGTCATGGGCACTGCTAAAGAGGCTACCACAGGAGAGAGGGGGTAGGGCGAAGGTTCACGGAGGAAGACCTATACCCTTTTTTAACTTTAAAATGTTTACCACGGGGCTGGGTCTGGTGGCTCAAGCCTGTAATCCCAGCACTTTGGGAGGCTGAGGCAGGTAGATTGCTTGAGATCAGGAGTTCAAGACCAGCCTGGCCAACATGGTGAAATCCATCTCTATTAAAAGTGCAAAAATTAGCTGGGCGTGTTGGCGCAAGCCTGTAGTCCAGCTACTGGGGAGGCTGAGGCACAAGAATCGCTTGAGCCTAGGAAGTGGAGGCTGCAGAGAGCTGAGATGGCGCTACCTCACTCCAGCCTGGGCAACAGAATGAGACCCTGTCTCAAAAAAAGACAGTTCACTATGGGGCCGACCATGGTGGCTCACCTCTATAATCCCAACACTTTGGGAGGCTCAAGCAGGAGGATCGCTTGAGGCCAGGAGTTCAAGACCAATCACTCAACATAGCGAGACCCCGTCTATATGAAAAAATCAAAAATTAGCCAGGCGTGGTGGTACGCATCTGTAGTCCCAGATATTTAGGAGATTGAGGCAGGAGGACCTTTTGAGCCTGAGAGGTCAAGGCTGCAGTGAGCCATGATTGCGGCACTGCACTCCAGCCTGGGTGACAGAGCAAGATCCTGTCTCTTAAAAGAAAAAAAAAATGTTCACATGGACACGTATTACCTTATGATTGGTTGGGTCCAGAACGTTGCCCAGTGCTGCTTCCACACCTTGGTTGTGCTGTTCGCCTGCCTCTCACACCCTTCCTTCCACCCCCAGCTGTAGAGATGCCCAGGGAAGCATTCCCTGAATGCGCAAGTCCATTACTCTCTCCTCCAGGCTCCAGCTGGACTTCAGGCCTCTGGACCTCTGCTCCATCCACCCTATGGGACTTAGTGTTGAGTAATCTCCCTCTCCTGCGAACCCCTGAAGGCCTGCACAATCTAGGTCATCTCTGTCCACACACACATACAATGGGATCATGCAGGTGCTAAGTAGGTGCTCAGTGACTTCAGGGCCCAACCCAGGAAAATACACACTGGAGGGCCAGGTAGGCTGACTCACGCCTGTAATCTCAGCATCCTGGGAGGCTGAGGTGGGCAGATCACAAGGTCAGGATTCAAGATCAGCCTGACCAATATGGTGAAACCCCATCTCTACTAAAAATACAAAAATTGGCCAGGTGTGGTGGTACGTACCTGTAGTCCCAGCTATTCAGGAGGCTGAAGCAGAAGAATTGCTTAAACCCGGGAAGCAGATGTTGCAGTGAGCCGAGATCGCGCCATTGTACTCTAGCCTGGGTGACAGAATGAGACTCTGTCTCAAAAAAAAAGTAAATAAAAAATAAAGGTAAAACAGATTCAGATTGATGAATAAACAGAGGGAGAGCCCCACCAATGCCACTTTGAGAACCTACCCTGAGGAGCTCAACATGGAAATAACTCAAGCCTGCTCCACACCATGCTTTCATTTAGGTGGTTTTTAGGTAGGCTCTCTGCAGCCCAGGCTCCAGTGCTCACAGCTCACTGCAGACTCGACCCCCCCAAACTCACGTGATCTTCTCTCCTCTGCCTCCCGAGTAGCTGAGACCACAGACGCACGCCACCATGCCAGGCTGATTTTGTTTTGTTTGTTTTTTGACACAAGGTCTGTCACTCTGTCACCTAGGCTAGAGTGGCACAGTCACGGTTCACTGCAACCACAGCCTCAAATGATCCTCCCATCTCAGCCTCCCAAGTAGCTGGGACTACAGGC